CAAAATATATGCTTTATAAATTATAAATAGCAAATATAAACAAAGGAAGAAAGAAGTAGGCATTTTGCAAGCACATTATACCTTTTAAGACTATTAGCAACAGCTAAAATAAACTGCTTGCTGTTCATGAAATTTCTGCTGGATCCTGCTTCTTGCCTGCCAATAATATTAATGTCAAAACATCCAAGCGTTCTTGTAAAATACAGTCTTTTAAATGTTTGATCATCAATAATGTTTGCAGAGCTTGTTATTAAATGGGATCTTTGATGATAGGAATATTATTTGTCTGTAAGAGATCATGTAGGCATGAGTAATATTGGCTCCATTTAACTATTACAGTATATTAGTGTCTTCCTTGACAGCATTTACGGAGTTCCAAGCACCCTCACATTTAATTACCAGTCAAGGCCAGTTCTATTTAGGTAGAGAGATAGAACCAGAAGAGCAGCTTTCAGACTAATAATAGCAGATCAGTATTTTGGCACATTTATATTCACCGCTGCCTGCTCATTTCAGAAGCTCCAGAAACCATGGAACACTATCATGCTATACTTCCTATAGACACAGGAGATGGAAAGTCCTGCTTAAAGGAACCATGTAGTCTGACAAGCCATACTGAAGAGATGTTATTATCTTTGCTATTTTACAGAGGATGGAATGAATCCAAAACTAAGTGAATGGCAGAAGTAGTAACTTACATCTGTTCTGTGCACCCCAACGCATTAGCTACCTTACAAGGGAAACAACTATTATATATTTTCCATGGTCCTCCCTGACTGCTCACCCTAAAGCTTTTACTAGTGGCATAAATAGATAGCTCTAGTTACAAATGTTGTTAACTTTCAGAAGTACTGTTGTGTTTGTGTTTTTTAATTCACCGGATGCACACCTCAATCAATAGTACAGAAGGGAGTGAGGCCAACTGGCAATGGGTTGTGTCAGAGATGAAGTGGAATTTCATAATGCCAGTGGATAATTTAAGAGGTGTAGTAATTAGTTGCACACGGAGTTCCCTGTACAGGGAATTGATACATCTAAAGTCTAAGAGGGCAGAACTGAGGCTAAGGATCCCCTATTGGTGGAGCCATTGCACAAAGCACATTGCTCTTTGCCTTCTTTCAAGTTTTATTGGAAATCAATACATATTGCGAATCCCATCCATTTTAATGAAATCTGTATGGGAGAAGTTCCTGGTGAATTGTGCCCATATCATTAAGGATAATGAAAAAAGCTATCTAAGCTTCACTGAATGCAGGAGTAATTAGACTTCCAAATTTATTTAATGATGCTTGGCATCACACTGCAAGAAGAACATGTGCATCTTGGAACATGGAAATCCCTTCAGTGAAAGAACTGATGCTGCCTGAGGCTTTGTTGTTCCTTCATCATCTATACTTCAAACTTAGGAGTGCAGATAAAACACCATGAGAATGATAAAACATAACAAATATATTTCTTTAGAATGTAAACATGCTTCCAAAATACTCACCTGCTAACTGCTTTTTTTTGGCGCACCCTGACTATAATGCTAAAACAAATCTCCATTGATGGCAGATCTTAATATAAACTAGTTAATCTCAACACTTAAACCTGAAGCATATGAATCACAATAAAGGCAGCACCTCTGAGCACATGCAGAGTGATTTTCACCTCTGAGTAACCACAGCCACGTGACCCATATCTGGGATTAGTGAAGGATTTTCAGGTTAAATGTTTTGAATTCTACGTCAAGATTCAGCTCAAGCACATTCTGCACTACAAATTAAGTGTATCTAAAAGGATACTTGGATCTAGTGGTGGCACCAGGGAGAAAACTCTTTTCTTCTCCTGCCACAATCTGCCAACACCACTATCAAATGCTCATATCTAGATCAACCAATGTGTATGGTCCTAAAGAAAAATGGAAAGCACAACATGGGAAGTTCTCTTTTACTAGGTCTCACTCCATGTCACAAAAAGAAGGACATAGGGTATGCTTTCAAAATAACTTTTGAGATTGACTATATTGTTGCAAGACACACTGTTACAATGAAAACAATAATTAAAGCAAACAGGGTATCTGGATACAACATTTCACTGTCAAATGAGGAGAAGCTGGCAAGTGTTTACTGTATAAGGCAACACACATTTGCTGCTTTTCTTTTAGATTATTTTCCCTCTTCCTTGGCTTTACCTTGCTGTATTTTTTGCTATACTGTATTTACCGTATTTTACCTTTTCTTCTTCACCAATTTATCCCTTGCTCCCTCTCCAATTAATTTCCCTTGATAGCTTTGTTAGAGCACACATAAATGACAGATTCAAACTAGTTTAAAATTGGTTTACTGTTACAGCTTCTTCCAAAGAACCATGGGAACTGTGGTTGAGTGCAGCACTGGGATTCCTTTGATACAGAACAATCCTGTGGTGTTTACTTAGTTTCCATTGCGTTTAATGGGGTTAGGGATAGCCGACATGATGCTTTCCCATGTTTTGGGACTACAACTCCCATCATCCCTGACCAATGACCATGTTGGCAGGGGCTGATGGGAGCTGTAATCCAACAGCAGTATAGAGCACACCACGTTGCTTAACACCTTGTTTCCAGGCAAGGCAAGCTTGAGGATAATAAGTATAAACTGACCATGTCACGAAAGTACAGATCACACCAATAAATGATGGGTCATATTTGGTAGTAGCTCTGGCAAGTTGCTTGCAGGGAAGGAATTGTTACTTGCCCTGAACAAGTTGTGCAAATAATTATTTGCAAGGATGATCTAAACTTACCCTGGAAATCCATTTATGTATATGTCTTCCTTACAGCTTTTTAATATGGTTATGAAAATACTAAAATTCCTGAATTTTAAATACGTGCTCCCTTTCCCTTCACTCACAAGCAGCAGCAGGGAAAACAAGCAGGATTGAATCTATGTCAATTTGCAGAAAAACTTGCAAGAAAAAAAAGGTCCATTGGCAACAGACAAGCATCCAATAGAGAGTTCTAAATATAGATCACTCAAAGACAAGATGAATGGAACAGATCACAGGCATTTAAAACTATAATCCTATTAAATAGCTATGCTTGAAACTGCTACCTTGCAACCCTACAAAGGTCTTTACTCTGACGTATTTATTACACTGCTCCCTTTGAGAAAGGTCACCCTACTTCTGTGATTGTTGTTGTTCTTGGTATTACTTTAAAAAATGCCACAGAACCACTGCCTCCTTGGCGTAAACTCAATTGACTATTGTCTCTGTATTGACTAGGTCCTGCGACTATTTCAAGGGATTTACTACATTCAAATAGGCGATTCCAAGAAAGCACGTTCCGTGTGATTACTTTTCAAACGCATCTTTCACTCTTAAAACATACCACTAAGACATGTATAAAATGTACTTGTGTCTCTTCATACAATGGATTTGTACTTTTCCCGCAGCGATGTTAACTCAAAGCTCCGTCCCGCAAAAGTTACGGGTTCCCGAATAGTTGTATTCAGCAACTGTAACAACTCCATTTATGTTTTAATTTACTATTCCCTACCCCGATTTTTCACAACCGCCGCCCAGAAAGTAAGGGGACATCTGACGACGAGCCCGAGGAAACTCGGAGGTGGGGTCGTGTAAAACATTAGCGAAGCCATACATGTCTGCAAAACTACTGAACTAAGAAAAGGAGAAGAAGTCCGGCAGGAGATAAAGTTGAAGGTACTCAGGGAATTCAAATTACTCACCTGTCAATAGCAATTTTCTTCGCTGGTGCATAAAACCCCAACATGGACAGCTGCATGTAAATCGCTTTGCAAATGTGTCCCTGATGTCAACATGCTAAGCTGGAGCCTCAATCTTCTGGTGATCGGATTAAGAGTCACTGCCAGGAGTTTTCTAAACGTGTCGGTCGCTCTGTCTCTTCCCGCAGTCTTTCCCCGACCATATTTGGAACAAGATCTATCGCCGGAAATATTGCTTATTGTTGTGGTTTTTCTCCAGCACCGCCCCCCCTCCCTCGTTTTCGCGACAAGGGCTTACGAAAGAGTGGCTGGCCTTCTGAAAAGCAGCCGGCGGCGCGGAGAAATTTTGCTTTAGCTCATCCGACCGTTACAATAAAATTTCAGGAAATCGGATGGTCCCCGAGGGGAGGCTCTCAGTTCAGCTGCTCCCAGTTTTGCCGCGTGTGCGAACAAACTTCGGTTTCGCTTTCTGGCGGGAAAAAAGCACCCTCCTGGTTGCAAAAGTCACCCTTTTGGTAAAAGCGAGGAGCTTTGGAAACCTTTTCGGAGTATTGTGCTCGGTTGAAACAGGATAGCGTGAGAAGTGCTGCTTTTGGTTTCTTGCTGGAGATCAGCGAGCGCCTTGCCCAGAAAAGCAAGAGGAAAAGAAAGTTTGTTGCATTCTCGTTCGCCTCGGCGTTTTGCAGCCCCTCTTGGAAAGGAACGAGCCTGGGTTTTCCCGCTTTGCAACAGGGTCAGGAGCGACCGCTCGTGTTTCCCCAAAACTTTCCACCGCCGTGTCACCCACGCGCATCAGGAAGCTGCGGCGGGAAAGGAGGTGGGGTGAGACGCTGCTCAGTCCCCCTTGGCAAGACATGCCTTGTCATCCCAACGGCTAGGATAGCCTGGAGTCGCCAATGCCTGGTTTTTCTTTTTAACCTGATAAAAATGCGGGAAGAAACCCCCAGCTCTTTGCACTTGGCTCAATAGAAGTCGAGGTAGGGCAAAAGGATGAGTGCAGTAGTATTTTTTGCATCTGAAGCCGGAGCAGGGTCTTTTGAGATAACTGCATAGATTATGGGGCGGGGGGAGCGTGATCCTCAGTGGATCCCTTCTCGATCTTGTCGCTCTGGTGCGAGTTAAGTAGATTTGGGACCGAGAGACCTACTTTCTCGTGTGCATCTGAAGAGGGGCTGTGTTGCATGTCAGGGCATTGCAGGCCCCTTTCTTTCCAAAAAATACTTGCACTGGGTTTTGTGTTTTAGTAAAAACACAAAGTGGTCCTGCACAGAGGGAGCTCCACGGAGTGTGAGGATGTTGTCCTTGGGGCCAAGGTTTTTCTCTAGAGAGCTCAGCATTTGTGGCTTGTTCTCCGTATGCTCACTGTGAAAAGATATCTATCCATATTCTGCAAAGAATCATAAAAAGATTTGGATACTAGAGAGCTCAGCTTTGCCCCACGCTGCGCACACACGCATCCCCTTTATTTTGGAAAAGGGAGGTGGCATTTCCCTCTCAAGACAGGGGTGCCTGTTGCAGCTCTTTATGTCGCAAGTCCCCAGCCCCTCTTCTTCCCTCCCTGGTCATCCCGCCGGGCCTTGCACGTCTGAACACGGATGCATGCGTGCAGGAGACCTGGCGGCGCCTCAGGGGCGACCTTTTGCTCCCGAAGGTAAAAGCTCCCGAGAGAAATAAAGTCCAAACACCTCCCTCCGTGAAGGGAGGCGACGATGGTGCTCCTGTCTGGAGACGGCAAAGCGGCCGGGGAGGGCCGGAGTCCCGCCGCGGCAAAGCACCTGGCCGTGCCGCCCTCGGAGCCTGCCGGGCCGGGAGCCGCGGCGCCTGAGGGGAGCGTTGTCGTCGGCTCCAGCCCAGCTGCCGGGGCGGAGAGGTCGCGAAGGGGCAGCGAAGGCGATGGCGGCGGCGGCGCTGAGGGAGGAAGCGACGAGGACGACGCTGGCGGCGACTACGAGGAGTACGAGGACTTCTCGGACCTCCCGGACACGCGCAGCATCGCTTCGGACGACTCCTTCTACCCGCCGCGGGCGGACGGCGACAGCGACGACGGCGACGACTGGTCTCTGGGAGAGTCGGACTCGTCGACGGGAAGCCCCGAGGCGCTCACCCTCTTCCGAGCTTGCTGCACCAACAACGCCGTGGCCTTGAGAGCGATCATCCGGCAGGGGCCCGAGGAGAAGGAGGCCAAGGAGACCGACCGCAACAAGAGGGTGAGTACCGGGGTGCAGGGGTTGGGGGAAGCGCCTCACGCGACGCGCGCCAGGAGCGCGAGGAAAAAGGCGGGAAAGTAGGCCTTAAAGCGCTCCCTCAGCTCTCGCGTCAAACGCCTCAGTTCACCTCAGGCAGCCCACTTGTCCCTGTGTCCTCTTCTTCTTCTTCTTCTATTATTATTATTATTATTATTATTATTATTATTATTATTATTATTATTATTATTATTGGCCTGCTGCCCTTGCTCACATTCACTCCGGTGCAAATCAAGCCCTGCTTCTGGGCAGGCCCAGACAGAGGGGGGCCATATGGGCCACTTGGTCCGGGCCTCCGATTCCAAAAGGGGCCTCCGTCAGCATATTCACAATTATTTATATACAGTGGTACCTCAGGTTACATACGCTTCAGGTTACAGACTCCGCTAAACCAGAAATAGTGCTTCAGGTTAAGAACTTTGCTTCAGGATGAGAACAGAAATCGTGCTCCAGCGGCGCGGCGGCAGCAGGAGGCCCCATTAGCTAAAGTGGTGCTTCAGGTTAAGAACAGTTTCAGGTTAAGAACGGACGTCCGGAACGATTTAAGTACTTAACCCGAGGTACCACTGTACTTATTTATAAGACTTCAGTTATCCCCAGGGTAAAAAAAAGGGGGGGCACATTATCTACCTGGCCCGGGCCTCTGCCTGGCTCTGCTAGGCCCTGCTTCTGGGCCCCTATCTTGTAGCCAACCCATGGTTCAAAATCAAACTGTAGTTTAGGCCTTTGGCCTTTTATAATGTGCCCCAGTCACAGAGGTGCAGATCACAAGTAAAAGCCGCAACTGGCAAGGCCTAGCCTTCCTTTGTCCTCTTAGCTGCCTGAGTCCCAAGTCCCAAGGCTCTCTCCCAAGGACAGCCCATTTCTTTCCTGTCCGTAGTGTCCAGCCCCAGAATCTCCTTCTGGGCTCCCTTTCCACCCATCAGTCCACTTCTCAGGTTCCCTCACACACATTTCGCTAATGCAGAACAGAGTTGTGGGGTTGTGACCATCCCCACGTTGCTGCACTGGACAGACTGTAAGAAATGCCTCTTCAAATGCATAGACTAGAGAGCCTTTTCTTGCTTTAAATGCATGGAGGAGAGTTTTCTGTTTTGCATTTATTTTAGCTGCCTTGTCTCCTTGGTGGCTATTTCCTCTCCCTCCCTCAACATAGCTTACTCAAGTGTGAGCAAGGTCAAGATTTTGTTGTAAACCACTCTGAGGTTTTCCCCCCTTAAAAAATACAAAGCAGTATAGAAAGGAAGTGAAGAATAACAATTTTTAAAACCATCCTGTTTCTCTTTTCTCCCAGTTTACTCGTTCTCTGCACCCGTTTTTCAACCTTTAGTCTCTCTGTCCCTTATATTCTCTGAACACTAGGACCTCTTCCCAGTCCTTAGCTCCTCTATGAGGCTGTAATCCCAGACAAATGGACAGCTTCCCCTTACTTGCAAAGCTACTGTAGACTATTTCTCTGAGCAAGTTCTATCTATGCCATTCCACCAGCTCAGCCAGTCCCTTTCAGAAGTTTTACCACCACACGGGCAATACAGTATAGATGGGGTAAGTAGAAAACACCACGAGGTGATCTTTTTTTAAAATCTTAAACAGTTTCACAGATTCAGTATACATTGCTTTACTTTTTACATGTTATGATTACAGTGGTACCTCAGGTTACATACGCTTCAGGTTACATACGCTTCAGGTTAAAGACTCCGCTAACCCAGAAATAGTTAAAACAAAAAAATTCCTTCCAGTAGCACCTTAAAGACCAACTAAGTTAGTTCTTGGTATGAGCTTTCGTGTGCATGCATACTTCTTCAGAAGTGTATCTGAAGAAGTGTGCATGTACACGAAAGCTCATACCAAGAACTAACTTAGTTGGTCTTTAAGGTGCTACTGGAAGGAATTTTTTTGTTTTGACTATGGCAGACCAACACGGCTACCTATCTGTAACCAGAAATAGTTCTTCAGGTTAAGAACTTTGCTTCAGGATGAGAACAGAAATCGGACTCCGGTGAGGCAGCATCAGGAGGCCCCATTAGCTAAAGTGGTGCTTAAGGTTAAGAACAGTTTCAGGCTAAGAACGGACCTCCGGAACGAATTAAGTACTTAACCTGAGGTACCACTGTATCACGAAAAGGCTTTTGCGGACAGCTTCCACTGAGGCTGTAATAATGTCTAGTATCAGTCCCTGATTTGTACATCCTCACCCCAAAGGCCATCAATAAAGGGTGTCACATCTACATCATATTTTGCCAAATTTTGCTAAATACTTTGCACTTTTTCCTTCTAACTTTATTTACCCACTTCCCTGCCTTTGATGCTTGACATTCTGTATGGACAGCTCCTGGTGCTGGGGCTTGAAATGCAGTGGGATATCATCCCACTTATAGACAGACGTATCATCATCTCAGTTCTTTTCAGGTGGAAAATAGTTGGGCCTAATCTCCCACTTCCTTTTTACCCTACTATGACACGACCCACTTCCTTCAAAACTATCTCACCTCTTCCTCCCGCTTTGAAACAACTTTCAAAAACATCCCATATCCTATTTTCTTTTGCTTTGAAAATATCCCTCTTTCTTCAGAAACGTTGTTCTTCTCTTTCTTTTTCACATTGGGCACTGCATGTGTTTCTATGCAGATACTATCTTCCACTGCTGGTGATGCTGTTTGGATGATGAAGTAGCAAGTAAAACAGAAGTAAAAGGGATAATTTCCAGTAATCTCCACATGTTAAACATAATATGTAGATTGGCCCTTACAATGTAGGAGATGCTTTAATAATTGAAACAACTGATATTTATCACATAAGTGGATTCCCTGATTTAAAAAAATTGGCCTGAATACACCTGCTGTTTTACACTAACGGCTAGCTAATAAGTGCAGTTTGACTTGCTAGTGGTGATCATGCTTCTAAGATAACGTATGAAGTGAACATCTTGATTCTCTAGCCTTTTGTGGTCAATCTTATGTGCCATCAGTAATGAAATGTTTCTCAAATATTTTCCACGTAAAATTGATACGGTACCATTATCCTCTAATCTGTAGCGGCTTTAGTACACAAAAAAATTAATAGGCAAACTGGGCCACAGTAGATTAAGATACCATGCTTCACACCTAGTTGAACAGGTAAAGGTGTATGTATGTGTGCACTTGCAACAGAGATTTCACACCTTTTAGACTAGTCTTTAATCCTCCACCCCGGATGATGAATATACTATAGAGAGATGTGTTCATGGGTATATAATACATGTTATAGTATCCCTGTCTATTCTTTTCCTATACACTCATCAAGGATTATGTTGACAAAGGGAGAGAATGCAACTACAAAAGTCCCCAGCCACCACCAGTCCTTACAATCATTTATTAAAAGACTTTCCACACCACCATTACTGCCAAGGAAATTTTTGTTCTACTCTATTGGTATCTGTACATGTCCTCAGATACTCACTCCATCTCCACCCGCAGCCTATGCTTTAAATAACTTCGGGTGTTGTGCTCTATTCATGCAGAAGTCCTATCAGAGACTCCTGACAGCACTTTCTAAGTGTTCCTATAATATGTATTCTTGTAGTAGAAGCCAGTGGAGCTGCACTGCTCTCCCACCTTCCCAATCCCACATATCTATGCCTCATATCAAGAGGGGGAGAGGCAAGGCAGTGGTTTGATGGGGTCCGGGGCCAGGGGCAGATCTAATCCAATATTCCTGTGCTGCACTCGCACCAAGCTCCTGCTACCTTGCTCCTCTCTCTCTTGGTAAGTGATAGGAACACACATCATTGGAAAGATAGGACTGCAGGCTTTGTTACAGGTATGAGTACAAATTTTAATATATGAACTATTGCAGGACTTCTCAAACTTTTTGTCCCCAGAGCCCAGCTGAGACAGCTAAAAATTACTGAGGCCCACCAGTCACAAAAGGATGGTGCAGGGACAGTCAGTCCCAAGATGAGGCAGAGTTTGACATACTCAGCTTGCATTTAAGGACATAATTTTCTACTGATATCTAATTCGTCTTTAGAAATTGCTAAATTCTTTGCTACAGCGTTTTCCTAGTGGCAAGGAGTATCATAGCTCAGGCTTCCACAACTTAAACACAGACATTTGCTGTGGAGGTATTGTGACTCAGCCTTCCCATTCCTGGCAGAATGTACTAGAAGCTCTAAGGAGAAAATATTTTCTTTTATATTTTCCCCTTCCCACATTCATATGTCCCTCAACTATTTTTACCCATCTCCTATAATATATTCTCCCATTCTCCTTTCACACTCAGGTTGTATTTTATTCCATTCTCCCCACAACCAGCCAGTTTCTTTCAGCCTTCCTCCCTGGTGCTTTAAATTCACATCTTCCTTCTATAACGGCTTTCCTTTCTTATCCTCCTTTTCCATTCTCTGTTTGATAAAGATGATTATATTAACCTTTTATCTCATTTTTTCACCTCCTCTGGCCCTTTCCTCTCAGAAGAAGGAGACCTTCTTTTCCCCTGAACAAATCTGTTTCTTGGTCACCTTTACTCTGGTCAAGGAGTCACTAGTTCTGGCACTGGTCCAGCCAAAAGACTGGCAAGACTAGGGAGTGGGGAAGGCAGGCAAGGAGGCCATGAGCAGGCTGTGATAAAGAGGCCCACTTCAAAGTCACCCAAGGCCCTTTTGAGAGACACAGAACTATGACATATGTATATCATGAACATGGACGTTTTATTGTTTTGTTTCAAATGCTGTAAACTACTTGTTTTGGAAAAGGCAGTATAAAAATCTTGAAAATATACAAGTCCCTAAATATTATGGGTACAGTCCAGCCAGAGATTTCTGTGCCATTGATTTCATTGTGAGAATCAACTGTGTGCTTAACTGTCTTATCATTGAAATTAGTTGCACCCAAAATTCCTTACACTAGAATGGGATGTGTCCTATATGTGCATTCATGCATTTTATGGGTACAGATGCAAGTTCATGCATAGAGGTAAGCATATAC